TTATGTGAAAAATGTAAAAAATATTTATTTTGTGAATCTCTGGAAAACAGCAATATCATATGAACCTATTGCATGTTAAAATAAATAACACTTTAATGAAAAAATCTATATTTTTTAAAGCCAAAAAATTTGAGAAGAACAGCATTGTTTTACACTATTGGGAATCTCTTAAATGTCTGGCTTATTAGAAAATAGATGGATTCTCATATCTGCTACTGCATTTAATCTGTTGTGACATCACACTCTGTATTATACACTTGCAAGAGAATGAGAATGAAAAGGGCAAATAGCATCTTAATATTATTATGAAAATAGTCTTTACTTTGTGTATCTTCTGAAAGAGTTTTGGGGCCCCTACAGGTCCTGAGACCACACTCTGTCCTCTCTGTAGATTGAATGTTTGTATCCCTCCAAAATTCATATATTGAAATCTAATCCCCAATGTGATGGTATTAGGAGGTGAGGCTTTTTGGAAGTGATTAGGTCATAAAGGTGGAGCTTTCACGAATAGGTTTAGTGCTTTTATAAAATAGACCCCGCAGATTTAGTGTCTAGTGAGAGCCCTCCTCTTGGTTCACAGACAGCTAAATTTTGTGTCATCCCGTGGCTGGAAGGGAGTAAGGGAGACCCCTATAAACATTTTTGCTTCCAGGGGAAGTCAGAATACAACTCATGAAATAGTTATGCAGTGCACCTCAATAGAGAATTTTACTTTCTTCCATTCTGATATTATTGGCTGCAGTAATAAATGAACCATAGCCATTGAGTCTTTGTCATCTACAGATAGGTTTGTTTTGTTTTATTTTGTTTACTCTGAAACCTGCCTAAGGACTGTTAAAAATTACAGCCAGAGTTTGTCTTCAACAAATAAGGACAGTGTTAGAGACTAGTGGAAAAGGACTCTAATAGGTACTTTCAATTATCGGCAATTCGAAAAAGAGACTCTTGCTCAGGCTTCTGAATTGATAGCACTTAGATAACTTTCAGATCTTACAAAAGAACTGAGTCAGAATTTTCCAACTCTTTTTCATTCAGAGGCTGGTGTCTTCATGAGCACAGACTACTAACCAAGATCCAGCAAAGCAAAAGTTAATTACAGGGGAATGAGTGGAGTGATGAGGGAAATGTTATTGTGGTTATTTGTATGGAATACTGTGTTTTTTTGTGTGTGTTATAATTCTGGTGTTTTGTTTGTTTCTTAGGTATATGAAGATGTTCTTTTTCTTTCTTCTTAAGCAATCTGTAACCCAGAACAATTTATCTATTTATTGTTTTTATTGTATTTTCTTTTTTTTTTTTAATTGACTCCATGCCCAACATGGGGCTTGAACTCACAACCCTGAAATCAAGAGTCTCATGCTCTACCGACTGATCCAGCTAGGAGCCCCTATAACCCACAACAATTTAGTGTACTGCTTTTGTAAGCTGAAATAAAACATTTTCACATATTTAATTCTCACTGACACATCCAAATTCAAAAACTTTACTAAGTCTCATTGCTTTTCATAACCATATAGTTGCATATGCTCAATAAGAATCTATCTACTTTTAAACCAGGATATAATTAGAGAAATTGCCTGGAGTGTATGATTTGAGAGTGGTGCTTTTTAAAATTAGCGATGACAGGTCATTGGTTGACAAATGGTAAGAGGAAGTTCACTTACTGGCAAGCCAGAAAACTTGGCCCATTTTGAGGACCTCAAAAATGAGGCAACCACTGAATTTATAGGTACTGCAGAAGAAGTCCGGTTTTGGGAGAGAGGCTTTGGGACTTGATTTCTTAGCCTTAGGATAGCCAATAAAGGTATAGAAGCTTTTAAGATTCCAGTCCAAGACTCCTTATTAAATCTCCCAATCAGAAGTTTATTTTGTGGCCTTGAAGCTTAGTGCTTAAGTTGAAATAGCAACCTCAGGTCAGCTTATATGATTGGTTAATACTGTTATTCATAAGTTTTTCTCCAAAAACCAGTAGTAAATAATTTAAGCTTTCAGTAGAGCCAGGAACAGGGTGAGGTGAGGTGAGTGAGATGTAGCACTGCTTTGCCAAGCTATACTGGAGCCCGAGGCAAATGGAAAAATCAGTAATACTCAATCTGTCTTTGTTTAAAACTTTGACATTTTGGTTTTGTTTTTTTTGTTTTTGTTTTGTTTTGTTTTTGCATTCCTTTTGATTTTTAAAAATATTGCATCAAAGTAAAATTCATTCATTATTCGTTCCTCAGGTTTTTTTAAAAGTTTATTTATTTATTTTTTTAGTAATCTCCACACCCAATGTGTGGCTCAAACTCACAACCCCAAGATCAAGAGTTGCATGCTTTTCCTACTAAGCCAGCCAGGCACCTCTATTCATTACTTAGTTCTTGGTGCCCCCTCAAACCTTGTGCCCAAGGCAAGTACCTCAATTGCCTCACCCTAGTTCTGGCCTTGTTTCGTGAGCTTGTGACAACTTCTCAGCTCTGACATTATCGTTGGAAAGCAGCCACAAACAATATGTAAATGAATAAGCATAGCTGTATTCCTATAAGCCTTTAATTATGGAAACCAAAATTTGATTTTCACAGAATTTTCGTGTGTCACAAAAATTATTTATCTTTTGATTTAAAAATGTAAAAAGTGCTTTTAGCTCCAGGAAGTACAAAACCAGGGTTTGGGCTGGAATCAGCCCACAGGTTGCAGCTTGCTGTGTTTAAAAAAAAAAAAAATTCAACTGAGATCAAATTGGCTTTATTTAACAATTCACGAATCAGGCAGCATCCCATCTAGCAAATAAAAAGAAGCTCTGAAAAGCTGAACAAAACAGGAGACTTTTATACGCAGACAGAGGCAGGGACAAGGAAATAGCGGATTGCTTCGTCTTTCCTTGGGGGACACAGAAGGGGTCTATCTGGTGGATTACCTCATTGAAGCGGACCAGGAAATTCCAAATATGCTGGTTTAAGATAACATTCCTGGGAGAGGTTGAAACTGCAGTTAGGTTAGGTATAAGTCTCAGATTGGTGACGTTGGTTTAGCACTCCATTTGGGGGCTGTCATCTCTTTTGTAACAGCTAACTCCTCCCGCCCTTGCTTCAACTATGTAAACAATGAAGCCAAACCTAATAAAACCAGTCTTTTTGTGTGATTAAGAATAATCTTTGAAATTATTATTCTCACAAGAAGAAACTGTCCAGAAAAATTGTGAAAGACTTTGAAATGACAAAAGAAAAAATATCACTGAGTGTCCTATGAAAGACCCAGTGTTGCCTAGCCCACTCTTCCTCATTATTTGTATCTTTCATTGCGTCTGAGTCTTTATCACTCTGTTAGTTGTAGTAAACTACTGGTAATGCAAATGACTTTTTTAAGACTTTATTTTTTAAGTAATCTCTACACCCAACATGGGGCTCAAACCCACAACCCCAAGATAAGAGTCGCAGTTTCTACTGACTGAGCCAGCCAGGCACCCCAACACAAATGATTTTTGCTGGTGAAGATGTAATTAATTATTTTTTCCATTTATTAACAAATTCATTTTAGCACTCCTCATTGCCTATATTTGTGTCTTGTCTTCCCAATCTCCTTGAACTGGCTTTTACGCTTCTGGTTCCCTCAGTAATTGAGTTGAAACATTCTTTAACACATGTTTATTTTATTTTTGTACAAGGTTCATGATTCTATCTTTATTTTTATTTATTTTATTTTATTTTATTTTTGGAAGGTTTCATTTATTCATTTGAGAGAGAGAGAGATAGAGAGAGCACCAGCAGGGGGAGAGGCAGAGGGAGAGGGAGAAGCAGACTCCCTGCTGAGCTGGGAGCCTGATGTGGGGCTCCATCCCAGGATCTGGAGATCATGACCTGAGCCGAAGGCAGATGCTTAACCATCTGAGCCACCCAGGCGCCCCTCATGATTCTATCTTAAAAAAAAAAAAAGGCTCCTTTAGCAACAGGTTAAGACAAACATAACTTACTGTTAAAGTCCAGTTCCATACCCAGGTAAAGTGAGGATGGCTTTTGGATTATTCTATTCATTCAACACTTATAGATGACCAACTACGTGGCAGAATGTTGGGGATACAAACATGAGTAAGGAAGACCAGTTCCTTTCTCCCAGAGTTCACATTCTAGTGAACCTCCTGGTCCTTTCTATTGACTTATCCATTCACTCACTCTCGCATACTACAGATATCTACTGAAGCTTACTGTTAATACTACAGCCCCGTCATATTTGGGTTAAAAAACTTTTCCAATCTGGCTTTCATGTCTTACCAACATGTTTAACAATGTTGTGTGGGGGAAATGGTGTTACGGATTCTAAGCAGCTTTTGTTGATTATATAAAAACATTAGTAACATTTCTACAGCTTTCTCAAACAAAAGAGGAAAAGGTCCTGCTTTCATAATTTTGTATCATTACAAGACTAGTAATAATTTACAAATGAATTTTCAACTACTCTGTTGTATTGGAAACTGCCTATATTATTCATGGATTGCATATCTTTTTCCAAATGATGCTGTTATTGCTGAAAGTGTTTCTTGAAATTCTTCTATAAGATTGCTTTGAAATGTAGAAGTGTTCTATTACAAATACCTCAGAGTAGATATTCATTTGCTTAAGGAGGATTTGGTTTTAGAAAGAGTCAAAAGTCTTTTGGAAAGAATTTTAATCTCATTGTATGCAATTAAGGATTAAAAATAAGGTTTTAGATGACCTCCTTTTCCACTTTCTTTCCACCTTGAGTCTTCTCCCACAAGAAAGGTAGAAATCATCCAAAAGCCTTTCAGCATTTTAAAGTGTATTAAGTATTTAAAGTATTAAGTATAAAGTACTAAATAAAATTTCTATTTGGGTGTTCCAATTTCTTTTTTTTTTATTTTTTTTATTGTTATGTTAATCACCATATATTACATCATTAGTTTTTGATGCAGTGTTCCATGATTCATTGTTTGTTCATAACACCCAGTGCTCCATGCAGAACGTGCCCTCCTCAATACCCATCACCAGGCTAACCCATCCCCCCACCCCCCTACCCTCTAGAACCCTCAGTTTGTTTTTCAGAGTCCATCATCTCTCATGGTTCGTCTCCCCCTCTGACATACTCCCCTTTTCTTCCTCTCCTGTTATCTTCTTCTTTTCCTTTTTTCTTATAATATGTTGCGTTATTTGTTTCAGAAGTACAGATCTGTGATTCAACAGTCTTGCACAATTCACAGCGCTCACCGTAGCACATACCCTCCCCAATGTCTATCACCCAGCCATCCCATCCCTCCCACCCCCAACCACTCCAGTAACACTCAGTTTGTTTCCTGAGATTAAGAATTCCTCATATCAGTGAGGTCATGTGATACATGTCTTTCTCTGATTGACTTATTTCACTCAGCATAACACCCTCCAGTTCCATCCACGTCGTTGCAAATGGCAAGATCTCATTCCTTTTGATGGCTGCATAATATTCCATTGTGTATATATACCACCTCTTCTTTAGCCATTCATCTGTCGATGGGCATCTTGGTTCTTTCCACAGTTTGGCTATTGTGGACATTGCTGCTATAAACATTGGGGTACACGTACCCCTTCGGGTCCCTACATTTGTATCTTTGTGGTAAATACCCAGTAGTGCAATTGCTGGATCGAACGGTAGCTCTAATTTCAACTGTTTGAGGAACCTCCATACTGTTTTCCAGAGGGGTTGCACCAGCTTGCATTCCCACCAACAGTGTAGGAGGGTTCCCCTTTCTCCACATCCCCGCCAACATCTGTCGTTCCCTGACTTGTTAATTTTAGCCATTCTGACGGGTGTGAGGTTGGGTGTTCCAATTTCTGCTCCTTCACCTCATTTACCAGTAGGTACTACTACTTCATTATCATGTGTATCAATACCAAATTATTTGGTAACTTAAAAAGATTGATCTATACATACTAATCACATATATATTTTTAAAACCTAGAATCATGCAATATATATTTTCCTAGAATTTTCCTTTTAATCATAACCCCTAGGGCATTAGGCATATAATAATGGTAATACCTTGGTCAGACTGTTATCACTACACTTAAAAGACATTTTCCTGATGAGTGCAACTCATGTCAACAGACTCCTCACCTCATTTTAAAAATGATCAACATTTGGGGGCACCTGGGTGGCTCAGTCTGTTAAGCATCCGACTCTTGATTTTGGCCCAGGTCATGATCACAGGGTTGTGAGATAGTTCTGCACTAAGCACGGAGCCTGCTTAAGCTTCTCTCTCTTCCTCTGCCCCTCCCTGATCTGCCCCCTCTAAAATAAATAAATAAATAAATAAATAAATAAATAAATAAATAAAATCAGCTTTTTTGTAGTACCATTTGAAAGTAAATTGTAAATATCATATTTCACCTTAAATATTTCTTTTTTTCTTAAAGATTTTATTTATTTATTTGACAGAGAGAGACACAGCGAGAGAGGGAACACAAGCAGGGGGAGTGGGAGAGGGAGAAGCAGGCTCTCCACGGAGCAGGGAGCCCAATGCGGGGCTCGATCCCAGGACCCTGGGACCATGACCGGAGCTGAAGGCAGACGCTTAACCGACTGAGCCACCCAGCGCCCCTCACCTTAAATATTTCAGTATGAGACTCCTAACAAAAAAAGACATTCTTCTATATAATCATATTCTTTTGATGCTTAAGAAAATTAACAATAATTACATAATATCTAATACCCAGTCCATATTCAAATCCCCATTGTACAAAGATAATTTTCTTAGTGGTTTTGTTAGATTATTTTAAACCAGAATCCATTCTAGGTTCATAAATTTCATCTGGTATTTTTGTTTCTTCAGTTTACTTAAATCTAGTTCCGATATCCTACTTCTTGTTTCCATTACCTTGAATTTTGGAAGCGTCTAGGTTAGATGTCTATAAATTTATGTCCTATATTCCTTCTTTTAAAGTCAGGCTTATGGAGATATAATTTATGCAGTGTAAATTTCATCTTTTTCAGTGTATAGTTCTATGATTTCTGACAAAAGCATTTAGTCTTGTAACCACCACCACAATCAAGTTATAGAATACTTCTAACTTTCCCAAAAGTTCCATTCTAGCAACCATGGCTCTATTTTCTGTCCCTACAGTTTTGCCTTTTGGGGAAGACCATATAAGTATAATCATACAGAATGTAGCATTTTTGAATCTGACTTTTTTCACTTGGTGTAATGTGGTTGAGATTTATCCATTGTGGTAGATATAACACTGTTTATCCATTCAGCAGTGGAAAAATGAGTTGTGTGCATCTCATATTCATAGTATAAATAAAGCTGCTATAATCATTTACATATAGGCTTTTGTGTAAACATACTTTTTTATTTCTCTTTGGTAAACACCTAGGACGGAGATTGCTGGATCATATGGTAACTATGGGTTTAATTTTATAAGAAATTGGCAGCATGTTTTCCAAACTGGCTACCATTTTGCATTTCCATCATCAGTATATGAGTTTTAGTTGTTCGCTATCTTTGCCAACACTTGCTATATCAATCTTTTAAATTTTAGCCATTCTAGTAAGTGTGTGAGGATATCTCATTATGAGTTTAATTTAAATTAGTTTAAGGATTTTGAGGTCTATGATCCAGGGACAGGAAGGGGTAGTTTCCGGACTACGTACCATTAGAAAGACCCTACCCCACCAAAACATTAAAGTCATTCCTCTATTGTCTTTTTTGTTTCCTCCTTTCAAGCTTTCTCTTTTTTGGCCGAGATTATAAACCCGGCCCCAATGCCTGTCTCAGTCTTGTCAGAAGGGTGCTAGAATTTTTCCAATCCTGAAAACTTTTACTTGCTTGTATGTATTAGAGTTTCTTTACTAAAGGAAGAGACTGAATTAAAGGTAGGAATTGTTTGGTATTTCTTGAAAATTATTATTGATGGTAGCATAATACACAAGGAGAAGCTTTCTCTCTCTCTCTCTCTCTCTCTCTGTCTTTCCTACATACACATTCCCATATACCTCACGTAGTCTAAAAACTGATGGCTTCCCAGAAAATGTGTTGCAGTTCATATTTTATTTGATTTTTAAAAACAATTTTTAAAGTTTTTATTTATTTATTTTAGTAATCTCTACACCCAACATAGGGCTTGAACTCATGACCCTGAGATCAAGAGTTGTGTGCTCCCCTGACTGAGCCAGCCAGGCATCCCCATATTTTATTTTAGAAACTATTATTCCCCCATTAACCCATTCTTCAAAATTTCTATTCAGAGTAATCATTATCTAACTTGATCTTAGCAAATATTTCCTATAATGTGCCTGAAAAGAATTGTTAATTTTCTTCATAGACTATTCTCTAAAACCACATCTCTAAGAAGAGACTATGAAGCAAATTTCAATATTGTTGAGGTGTTGTCTAGAATAGAAAGGCATAGTTAGAAATGAGACATTTCTGGAGTGAAGGGAGGCTGGTTGTTTATGAAAGTAGATGAAACAGCATGAAATAGGCAATACTATTTAAACTAGGTCTTAGGGTTAATTTCCCTTAGAGTTTTTTTTTTTTTTAAATAACAAATTTATTGTAATTCTCTGGTCACTTTCCACCGGCTAGGTGCTCCACATATCTTTTTGGTGAGGATCCTAATACACTTTGTGGCCCTAAGACTTCTAAAGTAAATTTTGTTGTTGTTGTTGTTCTTCTTCTTCCTTTTATTTATAAGAATATGTAGAGTGTTGGTGATTGGGGGAACTAGTTATCCTTTCAAAATTGACATGGAAAATGACTATATTAATTTTAGAAATAGAGTTCCTCTAGATCCACAGCACTTGAAAATGGCATCTATCACTCTCTGCATTTGTTATGTCAGCAAGCCAGGAGTGAACACCTCTGATTTGTAGTCCAATAAAGATTCAAATTACTTGGGGTGCCTGGGTGGCTCAGTTGGTTGGGTGTCTGCCTTTGGCTCAGGTCATGATCCCGGATTCCCGGGATCAAGCCCCACATAGGGCTCCTTGCTCTGCAGAGAGTCTGCTTCTCCCTCTACCCCTCCCCCTGCTCATGCTCTCTCTTTCTCTCAAATAAATAAATAAAATCTTTAAAAAAAGATTCAAATTACTCAACCTAGACCTAATTCATTACTGTTTCAGGATGTTACTCTTTACAAACATGGAAGAACATTGAGGAAATTGATTTGTAAGGGAAAAACATTGGCAAAACAATAGGAACTGGAAAGAATCCCTGACTCTCCAACACACAGAAACATACACAGACACACATACACACACACACTTTTCCAAAATAAGATTGAAATTAATATATAAGGCAGTGGGGAAAGGAAAAGAAGTCACAAAGGACAGTATGCTTCTTATAACAGTGGTTCTCAAGCTCTGGGGATCAGTTCCCTTGGAGGGGACAAAAGACCCTGACATGCATATTTTACTCATTCCCATTTTTCAGATGGGGGTAGGAGAAGGGATTCAATAACAAGTGTTACTGACCAACCAAATTAAAGAAGATGTTTATGTTTGCTTTAACAATTAGGTTAAATACAATATAATTTTTAATCCCTGTACTTGGATCTTAACATGTAGTTAGTAGAAAATAATGGACCCCAAACTGGGCTGATGCATTTGTATCATTATATAATGTAAGCATAACTGGACAAAAATACACAACAAACTAAATTTAAAATGATTAAACAAATGTGTAATTAAAAAGCAAGTGGAACAGAATTGAAACCCAAAGCTTCTGGAGATAACAAATGTGATATATTGATAAAGTGTTCTTCTAGAAAGTTGAGGGAATTTATATAATTTATGAGGTTAAAGAGAACTGATTCCCAAATCATTTCTTCCATTGTTTTCACACTTGGGTATGACTCTAACTTTCTATTTTTAGAGAGGAAAATAACTTAAAGTACTTTTGCCCCTTTCTATACCCAAGGAGTATTATCATCTCTCTGAGGAGTAACAAAGAACAATGTCTCATCACTTGGCTAAGGAGGCAACATAAGGTAAAAAGTCCCCTGATCCAGGAATTAAAGCCAGCGTATCAAAGGATCAGAGGAGAGGTGGGTTTTACCCCTGCATCTCCACTCCTGCCACCCTTCCTCTGTCCCCTACCTGTGCCAGGAGGCATTACACATGTAACTTGAAAGGTCTTTTTATTTTTTTTTAAAGATTTTATTTATTCACTTGAGAGAGAGAGAATGAGTGGGGGGAAGGACAGAGGGAGAAGCAGACTCCTCACTGAGCAGGGAGCCTGAAGATGCAGTGCTCCATCCCAGGACTCTGAGATCATGGCCTGAAGCACAGGCAGATGCTTAACCGACTGAGCCGCCCATACACCCCTTGAAAAGGTTTTTTCAATCCCTTCAGTTTGTGGATCCTGGTTATGAATGGGAGATAAACCCATTTTATATAGGGAACTGGTTAGGAAGGGGCAACCTGTGACAAGTAATCAGACCTGGGAGTGAAGCAAACAGAACTAGAGCACTGACATTCAGTTGATTATTGTACTGATGCCACAAACTGTCAACACGTAGAATTGGGGCTTGCCATTTGTGAATCCCTAGAAGTAATTTTTTTAGGGGGGTGAGGGGCCGCGGGAGAGGGAGAGAGAAAGAGAATCCTAAGC